TTACAACAACCCCATGAGGAAGGTAGACTGTTTTCCCCACTTCAGATGAGGAAACAGACTTGGTGAGGTTCATCGGCCCAAGGGGGAAAGGCAAGTGGTAGTTTTGCTCCAGGCCTATGTGCTTAGACTCTTGCTACACTGAATGAACAACGAATGGTAACCATCTTACTATCATCACTACTGAAAGGGGCTTTCCATTTCTCTCTCCGGGTACCACTTTGAATAAGGAGGTGGGACCTGATGGTGTCATCTGTAGAGGTTTTCAAAAGATCTCTGGGCCCCTTCCCAGACCAATAAAAAGTTTCTCTAAGATGGTAGCATTGATATTTTTAAAAAGCAACCAGGTCACTTTAATGTGAAGCTGGGTGTACGATCTGCCATAGATTGATGCCAAAGGCCTTTCAAGTGAAAACTTTCATGAAACTTGGGCCATAATGGAACTGCCTTCTTGTGTGACTAAGACCCAAAAATGATGTCTGGGAATGTATTATGAACCATGTAGGGATAGAGGAACATTTGATCACGAAGATTGGTTACAGCGAGGGCCCCGGCAGAAGACTATCATTAAAGAGTTGGTTGAGTCTGGCTGGCGTGGCTCAGTGGTTGAGCGTCAACCTATAAAAGAGGAAGTCACAGTTCGATTCCCGGTCAGGGCATATGCCCGGGTTGCTGGCTCGATTCCCAGTGTGGGGCATGCAGGAGGCAGCAGATCAATGATTCTCTCTCATTATTGATGTTTCTATCTCTCCCTCTCCCTTCCTCTCTGAAATCAATAAAAACATATTTTAAAAATATCCTCACTCCTTGGGTGAGGATGAAAAAATAAAATAGTTGGTTGAACATGGGTAGCTTGATCCTATTTACAGTCTAAAAGAAGCACCTAACCATTATTATTGGGCAGATGAACTGTGGCTTCATAAAGAAGTTACCCCTGCCTAACCTGTTTGGCTCAGTGGATAGAGCATAGGCCTGCGGACTGAAGGGTCCTGGGTTCAATTCCAGCCAAGAGCATGAACCTTGGTTGCGGGCACATCCCCAGTAGGGGGTGTGCAGAAGGCAGCTGATCAATGTTTCTCTCTCATTGATGTTTCTAACTCTCTATCCCTCTCCCTTCCTCTCTGTAAAAGAAAAAAAAAAAAAAAAAAAGTTATCCTGTATTTCAGTATGAATGAAATGACTTGCCACTTAATTTACACTTCATCTCCCTCAAAATTTCCCACAGGGTGCAAAGGGACAGGGCAGCAATCTGTCCTCAGGATTGGGAAGTAAAACAAAGATGCAGCTATATTGTTGCAAATATCAAATGACAAAATACTGGTGAGAACTTTCTGAATAATCGAATACCTAAATGGGGACATCTATAATAGTGTCAACAATAAAAATAAACTTTAAAAAATATATATGCTCTGGCTGGTTTGGCTCACTGAATAAAGCGTCGGCCTGGGGACTGAAGTCCCAGGTTCGATTCAGGTCAAGGGCATGTACCTTGGTTGCGGGCACATCCCTAGTAGGTGGTGTGCAGGAGGCAGCTGATCGATGCTTCTCTCTCATTGATGTTTCTAACTCTCTATCCCTCTCCCTTCCTCT